GGGAGAAGCGTGGCAGCACACATTGCACAACAGCCCAGGCCTGGAAGCGAAGGATAAACTTGGAGTTGGCTTGAAAACAAGCTGGGTTGTGTGGGATGAGCCAGGCAAGCTGGAATTCAGACGTAATTTCCTCAGCTCTGGGTCTGTGAGCAAGCCCTTGTGGGTTTGCCTGCCATTTAGGAAGGCACACTCCTGGCCTGGCAGCACCAGCCAACACTGGACTGAGCAATGGTCTTGATCTTGGCTCAGCACCTCTGCCAGCAGCACCTTCTTGACATCTTCATTTTTCCAGGAAACGTTGGAAGGGGGCCGAGCCTGCCAGACTGCTTTTTTGAATCGTAGTTTTTTTAAATGGCAGAAAATTGCCTCTCTGCATCACATTCAGCGCACACATGTGAGGCACTGCTGGCAGCCCAGAGCCCAGCTGGGTCAGGGCTGCAGGGCTGGAACAGCCCCATGGCTGGGGCAGCAGCTGCATTGAAATGGGCCCCAGAGCCTGGCACCAGCCTGTGCTGCTGATCTGTGACAGCCCTGCACACAGCAGGGACCTCAGCTCCACCTGGTCACCCTGGGGTGACACAGGTGCACAGGTGATGACACTGGGAAGACAGGCACCAGGAGAAGCTTTTTGTACTGAGGTTGGGGAGGCCCTGGCACAGGTTGCCCAGAGAAGCTGTGCCCCATCCCTGGAAGTGTTCAAGGATGGGATTGGATGGGGCTGGGAGCAACCTGGGATAGTGAAAGATTTCAGAGGGTAAAAAGAGGTGATCTTTAAGGTTCTTTCCAACCCAAACCTTTCTGTGGCTTTATGATGCTGTGAGTCTGTTTGGTGATAGGAATGTGCTGGCCTTCCCCAGAAGAGCTGCTCTGGGGACAGCCAGCACCGGCATGCCCTGTGCACCCAGAGATGTCACCATGAGCAGCACTTGCTTGTGGCCTCCCTCTGTCACAGGGGTGCCATATCCCAGCAGCCTGTACAGCCCCACAGATGTGCTGCCAACCACGTCAGCAGTGTGGAGAAGGCCTGGGAATGTGTCCCCATGTCCATGTGGTGCTGAGGCCACAGGGTTGGGAACAGTGAGGTGCCTGCAGCAGTGAGCCCCTTCCATCAGCACTGCTCCTCGCTGCCATGGCAAGGGTTTCAAGCACATTGAGAGCCCTGCCCAGGACTAACAGCTCTGGACCAGCAGCCTCAGCACCAGCAATGCTCTGCTGCTCCCCAAGGATGAATCCCCCTGTTCCTCCACCACCATCAAAGCTCTTCAGCTAAGGACAGGCCCGACTGAAGCTTCTCCCCACAGGGAGGGAAGGAGGTGCTGGCCATGAAAGCTTTAAGCTCATTAGCCGCCAGTGGAACAGTAATTAGGTTGATTTGTTCAGGAAGCACAGTGGAAGCAATCTTCCTTCCTCAGGCACCACCAACAGAGAAGGGAGAGCTCCCATCGCCCCTCTAGTGCAGAATAAAGGAATAGTACTGAGGGAAAAAGAGCATGTTGAATACCAGCTGTGCCACGGAGATCTTCAGCAGGCTCCAGAGCCACTGCCACATGGAAAGGGACAGGAGAGCAGGAGACAGTAAGGGGCTGGCCATGGTTGGTCCCCAGGTCACGCTGGGAGTGCAGGTGAGGAAGGAGGTGATGCAGTGGTTGGACCATCCTGGGTCAGGTTCTCCTGTCCCAGATGCACTGACTGTCCTGCGTGGGGTTTTACTCAGGGCTTCTGTTCTCACTCACAGTGCCATAAGTCATCCAACAGTGTGCCACAAGAGAGCCCCACTGCTGGAACAGGGGGTAGATGAGGGGGCTGCAGCATCACTGCCCTGGCTGAGGGTCCCAAAGGACCTTGATCCCCATTTTGCCCCTCCAGCCCTGCCCCACATGGCACCAGGCAGGCAGCAGCTTGCTACTTCAGAGCAGGCAGCAAGAGAGAGTGGGGCACCCAGCACTGCTTTCTAGCAGGCATTAAATATTCTTTGAGCTTCCTCAAGTGGGACCACATCCCAAAACCCCTCCTCTGCAGTCCTCAAGCCTCCAAGGTGGGACCTGACCTCAAACCTCATTCTTCTCTCCAGGGAAGAACATTTTATCATATAATCATAGAGTAACAGAGTGGCTTGGGTTGGAAGGGACCTTTAAGATCACCTAGTCCAATCCCATGACATGGGTAGGAACACCTTCACTAAACCAGGTTGCTCCAAGTCCTGTGCAACCTGGCCTGGAACAGGGAAGTTCAACAGATTATCAAAGGCAAAAACAGAGAGTGGCAATCTGACTCTGGTCTGTGTCTTTACTCCTAATCCCAAAAATTTGTGGGGTTTGAGACAGAGGAATGTTTCCTGCCCACAACTCCAGCAAAACTTCTCTCCTGCTCATGCATAAGCTCCTGCCTGAGCTGTGGCTGGCACAGCAGAGGCACCACGTGGGAGCCCCTGGTGCAAGTGCCATCTGCCTTCTCCTGTGCCATCCTCCCTGTCCCCACAGGACATTCCTGGTACAGACTGTTTGCCTCACCGCTCTGGGGGAGAACAACAGGGGCCCTGGGCTGCGCAGAGATGTTGCGGGGCTTTTTCTGGAAGCTGTTAGTTGAGGGCTGTGAGGGAACATGGCGAGGTAATTGGAGAAGATGAGCCTAATCTCTTTTTTTTTGTTGTGAAAAGGGTGTGAAGAAGAGAAAAGGAGATGTACTGGTAAATTACCATCAGGGCTGCTATAGTAACACGGCTTTAAAGATTGCCTTGGTGGCCTCCTTGGGGCTATAGAAAGCTCTTCAGATTGTTCTGTAGTTTTCCACTCTCTCCTGGTTGCAGGCTGGCCAGGGCTGCCTCGTGCCTGTCAACAGTGCCAGTCATGTATCCACCACCACTGCCATCCCCGCCGTGCCAGCCCTGGCTAGAGGGAAGGTTCAGGATAAGGAAGGGACTCAGTCCCAGGTAAGTTAATTAAATTTCTCTCTTCAGGCTCACAGGGAGTTTCAGGAAAGTACCTTTACTCACTTATTACTTCTTTTTTGTCCCCCATTCATTACCCTGACTCATTTCCCTGTAGGGAGTCAGAGAGAGGCCCAAGACAAGGCAGCTGGTGCATCACAGGCTCCCAGTGCAGCACCAGACCTGGGAGGATGGGGAGCAGAGTCTGAGGAGATGTGCAGCCAGAGCCTCCCCTGGCCTGCACAACTGCCTGTCCTGAGCCTGGAACTGAGCCTGGAACTGAGCCTGGAACTGAGCCCTGTCCTGAGTCTGGAACTGAGCCCTGTCCTGAGCCTGGAACTGAGCCTGGAACTGAGCCTGGAACTGAGCCCTGTCCTGAGCCTCAAACTTAGCCCTGTCCTGAGCCTGGAACTCAGCCCTGTCCTGAGCCCTGTCCTGTCCTGGAACTGAGCCCTGTCCTGAGCCTGGAATTCAGCCCTGTCCTGAGCCTTGTCCTGAGCCTGGAACTGAGCCCTGTCCTGAGCCTGGAACTGAGCCTGGAACTGAGCCTGGAACTGAGCCTGGAACTGAGCCCTGTCCTGAGCCCTGTCCTGAGCCTGGAACTCAGCCCTGTCCTGAGCCCTGTCCTGAGCCTGGAACTCAGCCCTGTCCTGAGCCCTGTGCTGTCCTGGAACTGAGCCATGTCCTGAGCCCTGACCCTGACATAAGCCTGGACCTGAGCCCTGTGCTGAGCCCTGTCCTGGGCCTGTCTGTCCCCTTTGGCCCTACCAGCAGGTGCTGGGGTGCACAGTCCCCACAAAGGGCTGAGTAAGCACAGAGCCATGTGGGATGTGAGTTTTTTTCCTCCAATCTCACATCGAGCTACCTTACATGTGGACCATTTCTATTCCTGGGCAGCTCCCCAGCCCTCATCCCTGCAGAGCTGCTGCTTCCCTCTGCATCCCGGACAGCTGCCCTTGTTTCCAGCAAAGTCAGGCTCTGGGTCAGATGTGTTGCTTCAGAGTATTTACTGGACAAATAGGATTTAACAGGAGTTTTGGCTCCAGGAACAACTCATGAACTCCTGTCCTCTCCTTCCACTCATATATGCATTTCATTTCCCTTCAACACCAGCTTAATGTAGGTGGAGGCGTCTGCGTTTTATACCTTTGTTTCTTTGGAATTCATTGAGATGGAGAAATGCTAATGTGCAATTTCTGCAGGAGGGAGAATGTATTGACAGCCAAACCCCTCAATGGACCCCAGATTAATTTAGTAAAAACAAAGGGCTGTGTGAATTCTGATGTGAATTCAGTGAATTCTGCCATGAGGAATGGGAACTGAATAGTTGCGCTGGTCTGTGGTTTCACACGTTGAAGAGTTTTCAGTAATTTCACTGCAGAAATACTTGGTATTATTCTTTATTAAAATAGCTCCTAAGGTGAATCTTAATTTCAGATGAGATATGTCCCTGCGCTGAAGAACTCAGGGTCTTCTAGATATGTTGTAATATATTGAAACCAAGCACAAGTGAATTAAAATTTGGCTCCCAGCACATGTGGCCATGCAGTCCCTCAGGAGCAGGGAGCACCAACACTTGTTATCCCCTGGGCACACACAGGCTGCCCCAGCAAGGAGAGGAAAGCTCCTGCCTGCTGCAGGTGTAGATCTCAGCTGCAAGCAGCCTTGGACTGTCTGACACATCTGTTCCCCCGGAGATGGAGATAACACCACCCCTCTGGGAGGCAGCCACTGCCTCGGACCGTGTGCTGCAACTGGAGAAACTCCTCTTTGCCACAGAGCTGACCTGGCTCCACTGCACGAGGAGGGAGCAGCTGTCCCAGCTGCCACTCCTCGGAGCACAGAGCATGGGCAGCCAGACTCATGGAACGAGGACATTCTTAGTCTTACTAAAAAAACACTAATTTTTTTTTCTTCATGTTTAAATGAAAGAGTGCCCAGAAGGTTCTTCTGTTTCCGTTACGAAATTTTTCAGAGCTTAGCAGGATGTGGCTGTTATTCATCTGTTTTCAGGCTTGTGAGATGAAGGGTAAAGTTTTATTAACATCTCAGAGGAAAGGACTCAGCCTTGGGGTTCCATGCATATTTACATTTAATGCTAAACATGCAGGCATATTCCTCTTGACAATTCACTTAGTTTCTCCCTGAGAAAAGGAATCTTCCCATCCTCTTGTTTTAGCATTGTGCAATAACCAGATGGAAAACAGCCCTTGGCTATGACAGAGAGATCTGAAGATCTGACATGGAAATTTTGCTCTCTAAGAAGCTCTGCTTCTGGTTGCTAGCAGTTGGTGTTGGGTTCAATTTCTCCATGATGATAAGGCAGTAAATGTAAAGAACTTTCCTGTTGGAGACAAAAGATGGCTTTAAAGCAGATGCTTTGCCTTTAGAACTGGACATCTGGAACTGGTTCCCATTTTTGCTGTAGATCCCACATGTGACTTATCCATAGGCTGAGCTTTTCATCTTGACATCTCCTGGTGAAGCTCTGAGCACCAGGCCAGAGACTGCAGTGCCTTGTCAGAAGATGATTTAAAAGCAGCCCTTGGATGCTGTGATAAGGTCTGGTGATGATTCATCCTAAATGGAAGCCATCCCTGTTTGGCAGCTGGCACAGCTGCTGCCCTTTGAAATGCACCTCTCCAACCTGTGCTCTCCTGGGAGACAGGACTGACACCAGGAGGCACAACCCTCAGTTGCAATTTGTAAAGCTTTTCAATTGGCTGCGAAAGGCTGAAAATAGCTCTCTAAAAGCTGCCCATTACTCCTGTCTCACTCTTCCCTGTTGTGTAAGGACAGCTGAATGTTTCTCTCCTAAGTGTGTCTTGCTGGCTCCCCCAAACTTCGGAGAAGTTCAGTATCAGGAGACTTTTAATCTGTGAGTCCTAACTTTGCCTGAAGTCTGGCAGAGTTGGAGACAGCTCCATCTGGGAGAGGGGAGGGATGGAGCTGCACACACGATGCTCTCCAGAGTAGGCTTGTAGCAGTTCAGGCTGTCTTGCTGCTCTGGAGGCTTCCTTCCTCCATGAAGCTCCAGCCTGACATCCAAATTAAACCACTTAATCTCCAATTCTTCAGGCTGTTGAGACAAAAAGCTTTAAATGTGGAATAGAATGTAAAATCGATCCATCAGTATCTGTCTCCTGAACGCACAGGTGATGTGCCTCACAGTTTGTGACTAGGCAGAGTAAATTCAGATGCTGGGACAAGTGACTGACCCCAGTGCCCATTTGTTTATCCAAGCCTGTGCTGATTACTGCATGGAAAGAAGGCGAGGTGGGTGAGCTGGGGTTGGCTTTTTTACCCTCTCAAATGTCACCTAAGGAAACTTGGAAACTTCAGTTGTGTCTAAAAAATATTATCATATAAGCCCACTGCACATTACAGGAGCTGTTGTATGTTATTCATCTTCATCTTGATGCCCACATTGTCAGTATTTGTTTTTTGTTTGTCACTTTCACTTGACAAGAAGATGTCAAGTTGGTATTTAATGTAGCCTTGAGAATGTTTGTTGAGTATTGTGCCATCACTTCAATGTTCATGAAGTGCTGGGCTGCAGAGCAGTGCTAGTGGTCAGATGAGAGCAAATCCCAGCAGCAGAGGCACAAACTGCAGCTTCATGCCTGATGTTTCTCACCACAAACTGCTTTGTGGTGGTAGCAAACTCAGGCTGGCCAGGCAGCACGGCACCCACCTGAAACACAGAATATATTGAGTTCTCTGGGAAGTGCCCAAGGCCCTGCCCCTGCCCAAGTCACAGCTGTTGGTGCTGGATCAGGAGCTCCCAGCGGGATGGCTCAGGTGAGTGCTTTTACTGGGGTTCTAACACTTGCCTGAGTTGGATGCTACCTCTGCCAGATCTTAAGCTGAAACAGCACAAATTTTGGCCTGAGATTAGATGAGAGATTCTCTGGGGGATTACAGAACTGCACTGGCAGCGCTCCGGTCCTGAGACAGGATGACCCTGCCTCTGCTGGCAGAGGCTGTGCCCAAGGCTGTCCCCCTGCTGATGGAACTCAGCAGAGAGGAGGCTCAGCCTGCCTGCAGTCATGCAGAGTTCCCTTGGAACATTCCCAGGAGGAGTCTGTTAATCCCATTGACCTGGCTTGATTTCAATCAACACAGGAACGCTCTGCCTACGCAGGTTGTTCTGAAACTGTTGCTTGGCTGCAGCAGGGGTTCCCATCTTTTTGGATATTTTATATGTGTTTTGTAAATGCAGTATCACAGATGCCTTCTGCCTTGTTCCCAGTGTCCGTCCTTGGCAATGCCCTGTTTTTTTGTTTCAATAACAGAATTGACTCTCTCTGTAGCCTTGGAGCCCCCGATGAAGACACAACACCTTCCAGCTGGATGTCAGCACAATGTCCCCAGGTGACTGAGCAAAGAGAAATTGCTAACCATCAGCCTTGTGGTGGTGCATGCACAGGTGCACCCAAAGGATGGTGGTGGCCCCATACCTCAGCAAAATGTGTGCACTTTTGGATGCCAAAATATAAGAAAGACACAAAATGATTGGAGAGCATCCAGGGCAGGCCTATGAAGAGGGTGAAGGGCCTTAAGTGGAAGCCATCGGAGGACTGGCAGAGGGCTGTCTGTTCAGCTGGAGAAGACTGAGGGGAGACCTCCTTGCAGTCTGCAACTTCCTCATGAGGGGAAGAGGAAGGGCAGACACTCTTCTCCTTGAAGAAGGCCTGTGATAAATGACAGGACCTGAGGGAATGGCCTGAAGTTGTGTCAGGTGAGGTTTAGGTTGGAAATTAGAAAAACCACCCTAGAGGGTGGTTGGGCAGCTTAGGGAACTGGTCACAGCACTCAGCCTGACAGAGGTCAAGGAGTGTTTGCACAACACCCTCAGGCTCATAGTGGGATTCTTAGGGCTGTCCTGAGCAGGGCCAGGAGTTGGACTTCAATGATCCTTTGGGCACCTTCCTCCCTTTGTTCCATGGCAGCAGAGCCCAACCCCTGCCTGGCTGCCCCATCTGTCAGGTGTTATGGACAAAAGGGCCTTCCTGGTTCCCATGGCAATACTGGGACACTGTTGGCTTGAGCTAAGTACTGATATTGAAATGTTAATTAGCTAATTGCTCCTGGGGATCACCTACACCCTCCACCCACACTGCCATTCTAGGACTGGGATGCAAAATAGAGGGACCAGTGGAATAATGGGAGGGGATTATGGGGATGAAAACACCCCTAAATGGAAGGCTGGGCACAGTGGAGGGGACTGGACGGGTGCTCTGGTGGGGGAAAAGGGAACCACATCCCAAGTCTATATCTGACATGTCACCTTAGCCTCCAGAGGACTAGACTGGACTGGGCTGTGGGAAGCAGGAACAAAGATGCAACTCTTCCAGGAGTTGCTCCTGTTACCAGAAGGAAAGGAGAGGGCACAGCTGCTGCTGGACTTCAGCAAGAGGCTCTGCACATCCCCTCACCCTGTGGCTACCAGTGTGCCAGGGGGAAAGGAGAGAGGACGGTCTGCTGGGACTTCAGATACAGACTGCACACCTCTTCACCTCCGGCTACCAGTGCTGAGCCCCCTGCCCAGCTGATCTTTTTAATAAAGAGCTGAACATTAATAAAGGCCTGTGCCCTGTTCAGTTCATCAGGGAGTTGTGCAGAGCCAGAAGGTCCCACCTGAGCCTCCTTTTCTCTGGCCTGAGCCCTCACAGCTCCCTCAGCCTCTCCACACAGGACATGAGCTCCACACCCTTCCCTGCACCCACTCCAGCCCCTCAATGTCCCCCCAAAACTGAGGGGCCCACAGCACTGGAGCTGTGGCCTCCCCAGTGCCCAGCACAGGGCCACAAGCCCTGCCCTGCTCCTGCCAGCCATGCCATGGCTGACACAGGCCAGGGGCCATTGGGCCCTGCACCAGCCCACAGGTTCTGCTCCTTTTCCAGGCTGCCCCAGGGCTCCCCTCAGGCCTTGCCAGACCCCCGGGCAGCCCCTGTGTTACGGTGAGCTCATGGCACCCTGTGCCCCCCTTCCCCCGGGACCCTGTGACTCTGATCAAGATAACCCCTGGATCCTCCTTCCTGCCCCAATGGGGTTTGCGGAGAGCCAGGAGAGCCCACCCTGTCCAAAACCTATATAGACCCCTGAGACTTCCTGTGCTCTCTTTTTTGCCCCGCTCTCCCATGGACACCACAGAATAAAGAGAGCTGTTCCAACACCCTGGGGTAAGAGCCTCTTTTGAATACCTTTCCCTCTCCTGGTATTCCTCCCCTCACAGCCCCATATCTCTGGGGAAGTTGGATTATTCGGGGGGCTGCATAGAGAGGGGGAAAACTACAGAAATGACACCCCTGCATGGATTTGGCTGCTGAAGGCAGCAGCTCTTGCCTGGCCCCAGGGAATGGCTCCTCTGGCTGTCTCTTGCAGCGCCTGGCGTCCCTCCTTGGCTCTTCAGGAGCTCGGGAAGCGATCCCAGGTAGGTCCCGTGTCCCCGGCAGCGGGGCTGGAGGCTCCAGTGGCTGCACGAGAGCAGCAGCACCAGGAGCTGCAGCACCGAGAGCCCCTGGTGCCCCTGGTGCTGCTGAAGGACGGGCTGCCACCCTCAGCAGCTCTGCCCGGCCCTCCCAGCCCACTTCTGCCTGACCTCTGGGCATGGGACGGGCTGGGGACACTCACCAGCCACCGTGCTGGCCCCAAAGGCTGTGATGTTGCAGAACCATGGAATCAATTGGGGTGGAAGAGCCCCGTGAGATCACTGAGTCCAACTGGGACCCAGCTCCACCAAGGCAACCAGACATGAGCCCTGAGTGCCACACTCAGGATTTTGCTCAACACTTCCTTCTCCAGACACTCCACCATCCACCTGGGCAGCCCATTCCAATACCTGGTCACCCTTTCTGGGAAGGAAGTTTTCCTTATGTTGACCCCAAATGTGCCTTGGCAATCTTAGAATCCTTTTTTGCATCTGCGCTCTTGTCCTTGAGCATCTCTGAGCAGTCTGGCACTGACTTGTTGGTCACTTCCCTGTAGGCAGGAGAAGAGGCTGTGCCAATGAGTGCTGCTCAACTGTCAGGCCATTGAAGGCTGCTGCTTTCCTTATTATTTCTATATTTACATTAAAGAAGATAGCATCATTTCAGGAAAGAACTGTATCATGTAACAGTGTGTACAATAATAAATGTCAATAAATACACCAGAATAAAAACTAAGGTTGGAAAATAAAACATGATTTGTGACTGTCATACGTACAGGGTTCTGGAAGAGCTTTTCAGTGAGCAGAGCCTCAAGTTGGGGCAGCACATGCAAGGAAGCTCTGTGATGTGATTAAATCTGTTCCCTTCACCTCAGTGCCATCCATAGCCCTGCCAGTCTTCTTCCATGCCGGTCCTGCAATCTCCAAGATGCTGCTTAGCACTATCCCAACCTCTGTCCTAATTCCATGCATTCAAATGATCTTTCCTATCAGTTGTGTGCTCTGGAAATACAAGTTTGCTCTGAAATCAGAACAGTTCTCCTTTTCTGCTGGGTTTGCATGGCAAAAAGGGAGAAAAATTGGAGAGAAGTTGAGCCCAGGAAGAAGGTGGGAGGATGGGGGACTGGGAAAGGCTTTAAGATTTAGTTTTATTTCTCATTATCCTACTCTGATTTAATTGGTAATAAATTAAACTAATTTGAAAGGTTTAGTCTATTTTGCCTGTGACACTAATTGCTGGGTGATCTCTCCCTGACCTTATCTGAACCCATGAGCCTGTCATTGATTTGCTCTCCCCTGTCCATCTGGGGAGGGGACTGATGGCTTTGTTGGCACCTGGCTCCAGTCAGGGCCAGCTCACCTCACCTCTGGGACTGCAAGATTTGAGCAAAGCAAGTGCTGAAGTGCAAGACAGCAGCAACATCAATGAACCCGTCTGAGGTCAGATGAGGCAGGAGGGAAGCAGGAGGAAGGCAGGTGCCTGCTGGCTCCTGAAACAACTGTGCTGTGCATCTGGAGGTGCAGAGTGGTGCAGAGAGCCTGGAAACACCGAAATCTGATGGTTCTCCTCATGCAAACACACACACACAAACACCTTGTGCTCTGATGCAGAGAGGAGCTGTAGAGATCCAAGCAGTTGTTGCTCATGCTAAACATGTTCCTGGGAAGGAGGAGATAAAAACTGTTCTCCACAAATGCAGGAGCAGGCAACCTTCTTGACAGTGAATAAAAAATCGGTAGGCAAAAAAATTATAATGAAAGCTTTTATTAAATTATAATTACTATCTTCTCTACATGTTTCATAAAGGCTAATGGAGTGTAGTGCTGGGCTTTGATGGATAAGCATGAGGGACTGGATAACTTCCTCGCCCAATCTTCAGCTGATGACTTTAACACATTTTTTGGAACTTAATCTGTACTGGCTGTGGTTATGGAGAGACTGTTCAGTGAAGGAAAGCTGGTTCACAAAGTTACTGCTCCCTATGAGTACTTAAACCAGACTCTGAAGCACTGGATGTAAGGTTTGGTACTTTGGGTCCCTGTCATGCTCAAGGGAAGGCTCCTGGGAGACTGATGACTTCTGGCTCCTCTCACAGCCTGGGATGGGTCACTTGTGGTTCCCCAGCACAGCCCAGAGCACTGTAAGAGGCCACAGCTTCTTCACCCACCTTGGTCACTGGCAAACCAAACTTTCCAGAAATGTATTCTCTGGTTTCTCCATCTAGCCTGGACCTAAGACTGCCCTGAAAAGCCATATTTATTTTGTAATTACAGTCCAGGAGTTCTGCTGCCACATCCTCACAGGGGTCCTGCCAGTCCAGTGCCCACTCCAGAGCATTTGTAGCTTTACTTCATTACTTTTTGTTCTTCCACTCTTTTTTTTTTTTTTTTTTTTTTTTTTTTTCTTCCCTGCAGTTTTCTTCTTGGAAATGGTTTCAGGTTGATATCTTGAAACCCCATCAGGAAAGCTTTATCCCTTGGAGACCTTCTCTGAGATCACCCGGATTCCTGGCATCTTTGCTCTTATCTCAGTTCGGAGAAGTCCAAGTGAGGCTGACTAACCATCATTAGGGATGAAGAGCAGAAAATCAAACCATCAGTCTTCCACAAGGAGCGTACAGCAGCATGAAGAAGCCCATTAGAGGCAAAGTGGACCTGTCAGAGATTCAGCGTGAGGTGCCTCTTTGGCATAAGAAACTCCCACACTTTAACTCTGCCTCTTCAGAGACAACTTAGTGTCATTTCCTGCAGGCGCCTCATAAAGCAATTAAAATAAATGTCTTCAGAATACAGTTTACTTCTCTCTCTGGGAATGTTTCCAGCACTCAGTTACA